TTTCGCGACCTCCAAGTAAGAAGTGATCACAGTACACTGACGTTATGTACATGCCATGAGTATTCTGTATAGCGCGTTATTTTTTTGTGTACCGGTAACTTTAAATCCGGTGATTTCGGTAGAGAAACCGGGCACCGAAATTTAAATTCCAGCTAAAAGACACTGGAGTATGCACTGTGCGAGAAGGGAACGCTGGTCGCCTACATTTACATGTACATGTGCACCTGAAACCTGGCAGGTCCCTAACACGAAATTTTAAATCAGATCTGTACACTTATTACATGTTATACAGCTTGCCTGATGATCGTAGTCATACGTGAAACTCACAGCTTCCAATCTCTCTCTCTCTCTCTCTCTCTCTCTCTCTCTCTCTCTCTCTCTCTCTCTCTCTCTCCTGTGTACAAGGCTCTGCCCTATATATGACGTGGGTATTGAGCACTCTTCGGACAGTGGAGCACGCTACTTGATTGTGTTATACAGTTTGTCACAGTCACGTAGTATGTTATAGCATGCTAGTGTGATAGTGTGTCTTCACATACAATGTACATGTACAATTTACATGTAGATGTACATGACTGTACATGTGCTGAAGTCAGTGTGGCTACATGTACTGTGACTCTGCGATAGAGTGAAACAGTTACTTACTGCTAATTGAAATAGTTCAATGTAAGCGTATGTGATCAAGCTGTTGTCCAGGCACATGATCAATGCGAAGTGTTGTGTGCTGCAGTAGTGACAGCCTGGAGTGATCTGCTCAAAAAATGCGTCCAAAATTAGATTGTCAAGTGGTCAAGGCAGTGCTCAGCTTTCTGAACGTGTGCTCATACTTTTCATGTGACTCACACAAGGCCTGTGGATAGTGATCGAACAAATAATTGGCAGATTCTACTTGAAAAGCAGTAACCTTGGCAGAACCTTACAAAGTTCATGGCGGGCAATTCGTCAAGTTCTGCTCCTCTTCTTTATCCTTATACCAAACATGTATGAATAATACAGGGAAAGGAACCAGATAATAAATTTAATTCTGCTTATTTAAATCAGACCGCTCGATTGCGACAACTTTGGAGTCATCTTCCAACAATCAAAATCTGATATGCATACACATATTACAGGAAACGTACCGATGCGCAGTCATAGAGCGAGTGGGTTTTTGCTCCTAGCGTTTTGTATTTCAATGTGTTGGGGGCCAAAACACATCTGCTGATTCTGAAATGAAGGTGCAGAAAGCGTCCAAACGGATCTTGTTCTTGTATTAAATATTGTACATGTACATGTACCGGTAAATGACCTACATGTAATTCGGGCTCTCTCCATGATTACAAGTATATCTTTGCATCAACCCCCACAAACTAGTGACAATTTTACATGTACATGTTCAAGTACATGTATAATTATACACATGTAGAAATGTGTACTGCTATCGCTTGATGACTTGAATATGTACTAGTACACAATGTCATGTACTAGTATACAAAGTAACATGACTGTACGTCTGCAATGACAATTTATCTGTTCTAGTAGTAACCCGTGGAGACTGATTAGAAGGAGAGTGGTCTGAGAGGGGTGTGAGTGTGGGAGAGGGGGGGGGGGGAGGGATCAGATCTGCAGCCAAGCAGAGTCCAGGACCAAAGGCCGAAATCTCGTTTGCCACGTCCATGTCCCCATTGTGCCAGACCACACGTTCCCCGACTGCGGATCGCAGCACTCTTGAAAAAATCCTCCCTCTTCCAACAGCAATCCTGGTACAGCTCGTAATCATGGTCCCCACACCAACTAACTGTGCCTGTTCTCTAGGGCGATACGTGTACTCCGTTCGAAAAGCGTTCTTTCGATTATGCATGATTGTAGCAAAGAGACCAATGTTGTGAGTGGTGATGGTTGCAAGTCTATCAATCAGTGGACAGTGTGGTGTTGCACACACTGTCTACATGTACATGACCAAGTCTTGCGAAAATACATTCATCCGAAATTAATCATAGCTAGGTCTTGTCACAATGTCATAACCAAATTATCCGTAGAAGAGTCCTGTAGATTTCCCCTTACGCGCACTCTGCCAGTCTGTGTTCGGTTTCAAGATCAAGGTAGAGCTGCGTTGGATTCAAAGAGGAAAATCCACTGGCTCACCCTGTAGGTTGTGTGGGCTCAATGACGCGACTTCGGGCACAATGTGCACGCACACTTCGGGCACAATGTGCACGCAGTACATGTATGCGGACCCTGCAGCTGCAGATGGTAAACTAATACAAAACATTAGTAAGTTGTGACAGTGTAGAAGGAGCTGCTGTCACGATACAGCTACATAATCATTAATTTTGTATATGAACATTGGCCTGTGGATTCTGGCACTGCTAATCGAATTCTCCATCCACAATAGCTGTAATCATAGCATGAAGGACTGCCAGCACACATTAACAACACACTACAGCGATGGAGTCTAAATTGATTATGAAAGTGAGGATTAGGATGCCAGTGTATCACTGCACATTGAGCAGTCGTCACGTAGAGACTTGCGGATAGGGTTTCATGCGGAAATTCCGCAGAGATGCTCTCATTAGTGTCGAGTGAAGCACTTCAACCTATTCTGCCGACTACAAAGACAGAAAAGTGAGGGACTAAAGAGGTTTCAGCGGAAAAGCATCAAACCCATCATTGGCTTCAAACCCTTCAAAGTTCTTCGTATGGGGCAACTGGTGCATGGTACGAGAAAGTCACTGCAGCACTCCGGATCGGATCATACACGCACAGTCGTTACACAGAGTGTGTGTGTTTCTGCTTTTCCAACACGACTTTGGTGTACGGTTTCAGTTTTAAGCTGTCAGAGATCATGGTGCATCAACATGCCCTTGATCCTCCGTGTGTGTGTGTGTGTGTGTGTGTGTGTGTGTGTGTGTGTGTGTGTGTGTGTGTATGTGTGTGTGTGTGTGTGTGTGTGTGTGTGTGTGTGTGTGCTTGAATGAACTGCCTTCAATTACCATGAGCTCGGTGTCTGCCAGCAGTTCTCCTTTGTAACATGGAAAGGAGTTTCGCAGGTGCGCCATCAGGATCAATTTCATGTGTCCAGTCACTCCTAGATCCTGTCACTGTCAGTTGTGTAACCAAACAACGGTCTTTTTGCGCGGAGCGCTAGGGAAGTGTCCCACAAGGCTTTGGATTTCACTCAGGTATGATGTGAAACACAACACGCAGTATCACTCGATTCGGGCTCGGCCGCGTCGAAAGACCTATCGATATACCTCCGAGTGAAGATATACCCCTCAGTTGCCATTCTCAGAAATACTGGATGTTCACGAGAAGATCAAAAAGGGATGTTGTGCTGTCCATCACATAACACAGAATGGAGAAGAATAGGCAGCTGCACTCTTTCCAAGCCCTTCCTGTACACAATGAGCTGGTAAGGGAAACATGAGGTAACAACGTACGAACAGAGAACAATCGAATTTCTCCTCTTCTCCCAGAGATCACTTCACCTAACAACTGGTGGGTCCTTCTTAACCTACTCAATTGCTTGGGTAACTCTATTAGCAATCAAAATGGAATTACCTGAACAATCGGCCAGCAACTCATCCACATCTCATCTGTTCACACTCTTCGCGTTGTGACATAGTGTTCATCAGGTGACAATGTAATTATAGGTACCCATCATCGACCATATGGCTGCATTTAATGTGCTAGGAGATGTCCTCAGAACTGGACTAAAGAGTGCAAGCTTTGCCTGGTCTAAGTAGCAGGCGAATAACAAGTGACACAAGAATGACAGTGACCGACATCAGCACAAAGCAGACAGGCGTTCTAGCAGGTAAAGTCATGTTTGTATTTGAAGAAGGAAAGGCAAAATTGACACAGCTTCCTTACTTACTTCAATCACTTGTTGACAGCTCGTGTGCCGGACTCGTTTGCCCCAGGAGTATATGCAGGAAGGCGGTTCCCACAACCGCAGTCTACTTACTGAACGACACTAGTAGCAATGAGGGTCTGGTGGCCCGTCTTGCCTAAACCGCTCTTTATGGCGATTACTGAGAGGGAGACACATCGGTCGTGTCAACTCAGTCTTTTCACCACAAAATCTTCAGATAATAGTGTTGGTGGCAAGACACTCGTACTCGTGTTCGTGTAGTTACCGATTCCAATGCACCCGTAGTGCATTCGTAGTGCATTGTCTTCGGGGTCTGCCTGCAGGGATAAAAACACTATGGCTCATCATAGAACGCCAACAGTAGCCAGTGAACACAGGGTACCGACTAGAAAGAAGCACTTTGGCTCGAAACAATAATTACTTAGACATGTACACACCCTATCAAGCTCATAGCATGCTTTTGCTTAATTACTCTTGCACACCCTGAAGGCAGTCAGCCATTGAAGACCTCGTCATTTTGGCATGCGCTTCTTGCCCGTCTATAGCTAACATGGACGTGGGTACATACTCTGTGCTGATGTGATACGTCTTCATGCCTGTACGTACAATATCATGTATGTACAGCTACATGTACATGTACATGTATGTCTACTGATGACGGAATAAATTGACCAAGGAAAATCATTATTATGATGTGCATTGTACCGCGCAGTGACACTCCACGCCTTTCATAGTACAGATGGAATGCCAAACTCCACATACCTTGTTGTTGGTCAATCGTGTACGGAAACGCTGTCCTGTAATTCGCCCCCCCCCCCCCCCGCCTACCCCATTATACTGCAAGTACTTTGTGCTCCTTTGTGCTATAACCTTGCATAGCTGTAGAGTAATATCTGCTACTGCAATTACTGTTACTGAATGAGGGAGGAGGCTGTGTACATGTACAGCACGGGATGTAAGTTGATTATAAAATGCCACCATGCCAACTTCGGGCTGTCATCAATATACATGTAGATGTAGATGACAGCCATCATCATCCCTCCTCCTCTGTATACATAGTATACAGAGGAGGAGGGGTGATGACGTTATGCATGCATAACACTGCACTGTACTCTCCGATCCATCACGGCATTAGAACTGGATCGTCCCGCGACAGTGAAGCAGCCACAAACTACTATTTACTTGATTCTTTTTGGTACCGTTCTTATTCAAGCCACGACGCCAGTTCTCCTGACGGTGATCAGGTGATCAAGCAATCTCCAAGTCATGGCTACACAACGGGCAGCGTTGTGCCTCGCTCTGTGCGCCGTGCTATTCACTGATGCCAGCCATGCTGCTAGTCAACCAAACTTCATTGTAATGTTCGCTGATGATACAGGTTGGGGCGACCTAGGTGCCAACTGGCCCCAGACAACGGATACACCTCGTCTGGACGCCATGGCTAAGTCTGGTACACTGATGGCTGACTGGCACGCCGGTGCATCAGTGTGCACTCCATCTCGTGCCGCGCTTCTCACTGGAAGACTGGGCAGACGCACTGGGGTCACTCACAACTTCAACCCGACCAGCAGAGGTGGCCTGCCATTGAATGAGACCACGATTGCGGAGACATTGAAAGAGGCTGGCTATCGAACTGGAATGATTGGTGAGCACTGAGTACCAGCTGCACACACATACACACGCATACGCACACGTATGCACGCGTACATACACACGCACACACACACACACACACACACACACACACACACACACACACACACACCTTACATATACACATGACCGTAATTGAAGTATGGGGCTGGATCCTTTTGCACGTAGTCCGTGGAGAGCGTTTGGTGCACCAAACGTTCAACACGAATGTCATCCACTACCAGAAGCATCATTAAGCATCAGGTACAACCTGATACAATAGTGTATTCTTGTAGTGTGTGTGTGGGGGGGGGGGTGTACAAGGTGTTGTTGTGAGTCTGTAGACGTGCGTCAGAAAATACTAGGATCAACTGGCGCCACCATGCACCAGCATGAGAATGCCAAACTTAAACTGGAGTATTAACTGGTTTGAGGGAAAGAGAAAAAACGGGAAAAGTCTGAAGAAAAAATTGACTGTCACCACCAGGACTCGAACCAGGGACCCTCGCTTGTAGCCAGCGATGCTCTAACCACTGAGCTATGGTGTAGTCGTCATCCCAGCAGAGGCCGTTCAACGTTTTCTTCAGACTTCGTAACTCACACTTCCTGTGAATCCACAAACTGGAGTACACTTTATTTTTTGCAAGTACAGTATCTGGATTGATCAGCTGCGGATCTGCTGGTGGTTTCGAAGATTCTAAGCAGTTGGAGCGAAGAGAGGGGGGTGGGAGGAGGAGCAGTAGTGGCAGAGAGACAGAATGATTGGTATGAACTGGATCTGGAGGATGGACAGCGGACATGTACTGTTAGGTGGTTGCACTTGTCTTGCAATGAAGCGTTAGCGCGTACATGTATCAGCATGTGCAACATGATGGCGGAGGGTGGTTGGATCTGCTAGACTCCCCAGAATCTCGAGTGACAGCAGTTGGCGTAGTCATGGCTGGGCAACATACAATGTATATACATGTATGTATTACCCAAATTAGAAACCCACTGCTGTAGACAGCAAGATGTACAATACAGAAATTACTGTTATGTACAGTGTATTATCATGTAACATCAGTAATACATGAACCTAAGGCCAGTAAGGAGTAAGGGTCTTGTGTGGTAACATAAACCTAAACCAACCATACACCTTACACCATACACCATACACCATACACCTTAGCCTTAGGCTCTTGTTAGCACATGTAGCAGTGGGCATCGATGGTCGTGGACTGTTGCTGTCCATCCATTTCCAGTGGACAAGTGCAACGTGCTGAAATTCATTGCCGTCACTAGTAGTACTTCCAGCTATCCTGGAGTCCCTCCCCTCCCCCCCCCCCCCCTCCAGATAATTTGTCAGGTGTGTCCCACAGATGCAATGGTATTTGAAAGGTCTTACGATGTACAGTACTACGATGGCTACAATGCCCTGCCCTTGACCTGCTCTGTGAGATCAAGGAGGGAACGTGGTACATGTAACATCAAGAGTTCATACATGTACATTGTAGCTCCTCCTGGAGCAATGTACATGTGCATGTGTCATGTACATGTATATCATGCATGTGCACCATACAGATCCGCGCACGAACTACACATGGTTGGCAGTTGCATAGATGGTCGATAATGGACCATCTGCAGATCTTCTGGCCAGACGATACATGCAAACCAGATCGTCCACGGTGCACACCTGCCTGGGTACGAGTCCATCGTACGCTCCTTACTGTCACGTCAGTGATGCGTTGTTATGACGACAAAAAGATGCACTCTGTCCCGTCTGGGATCGGCCGAAGCTTTTCATTTTCCAGAATTTGTTCATACGGTACTTTTAAACAAAAAAGTAGTGCAATTGGTGGCATTTACCCTCCGCGTTCGAACTGTAAAAGTAAATTGTGCACTCGTACTGAGTCGTAGTAGATAAACGTGTTCATGAAAGTAAACGCTACCAGCGGTAGTAGTTAGTAGTAGTAATTTTATTATTTTACTAGGGGAGTCCCAACAGGCTACTGCCTTTTTACTGGGAACCCTAGTTGAAGTTTAACCATATTAATGAACAGAGCAAGAGTGTGGGCCTGTCGACAGTCAGCTGGAAGAGAGTTCCACCTGCCTGCCGCCAGAAAAGAAATAGAGCGCATGCCATACTGCGTATAAACGAGTGGGAGAACTAAGGCTCTTTGTGCCTTGCCCCGGGTGCATGCCTGGTGACCAGGTGCAGTTGCCCGAAGCTGGTACAAAGACTGAAGAAGAGGACTAGCAAGATGCTGGGCCAAGCAGCGGTACACAAAAACATAGAGCTTGAGGCTAATACGCTGTTCCAAAGAATAGAGGTGATATAAGCGAAGAACTAGTTCAGTGGGCGTGGTACGATCGAGTCCAAACACTCTCTTCATTGCTGTGTGACTAACGGTCACAATCCTATTGTACAGAGTTGTGCTTAAACAATGTAGGTAAGCATTACTGGCATAGTCTAGGGTAGACTGAATAATAGACAAGTAGAATGTTCGCTTTGCATCATTTGTTAAATTTCTACGGCCATGTCGGAAAGCAGCATCTTTAGCAAAAATCGAGTTACACAATTTATGGACCTGTGGTACACGTCCCAAGCCTGTTTGGATAGGACTCCTTGGCTACCAGAACAGCTGAGCATTGACATCGACTATCCGGACGATCGATCATCCAGAATGGCTGAGACCCTGCTTGTTTGGCCGTCAAAGCATGAACTGTATACACATCCTTTATTGCTGAACCCACAAATTGTGATACAGATTGTAAACCATTCGAGGTAAAAGAAAAAGCATATTACAGACAATTTACAGTACAATGATCTTCGATGATGAACTACTGTATAACAAGTACTGTCGTGGGCATGGAAATCCGGTCGATTGACCGGGGACGGCGCCCTCAGCGCGTACAGAACGCTGCGTGCAGTGCGCATGTTGATCCGATGCGACTAGCGCGCTGCAGCGCATAAAATGCATGTGTGTACCGCTTATCCACGGCTGCATGGCCAGCGCCCTGGGCCTGGGGCCGCTAGACGTGCGACCGGATTTGCATGTCCACAACAGTAGGTACATGCATGTATGAGCTATACTGCACGCGCATCGACGACTCTTCCATTATCCGAACATTTCCCTCATCCGGACCCCGTCTGCCCCGAGGGGTTCGGATAATCGATGTCTAGATCTACCGGTAAAAAGGAGAATGCTTTTATGGTCTACATACTACCGGTAGTACAAAATTATTATGTCATGTAGATCTACTAGTACACACTGTAGATCTACATGGTCGACGGTCCCGAAGTGCAGCTGAACCTGCGCTGCAGCCGCGAAACTTGTTTTCGTCGTGATGATTCACAGATGCCTATTACGACTGAACTCTGAAGTGAACGAGGAAGAACTGAGTGCATGCAGTGTAGGTTAGCCCGACCCACGAGCCTCTTTCGAATTATGTGTTCGTGTGCGAGTGTAATGCCTCGTGGTTTGGTTTATGTGAAAACTACTGAACTGCCACCACGGCATCAGCTCTGACTTGAGCAATTTTGGCCACAGCACTTGGCAGGTGAACTGGACAGAACGCGTGGTGCAGTCTCTGCCGAGTTCAACGAGTTGTGCAAGCAGGAACTGATGGTACTAGTATTTTTGTTTGAGTAGATCCGTAAGTAACAGTTTCCTGTGTTGGTTTTCGAGGAATATGTCGCCAACAAGTTATACTGTCTTAATTATAGTGGAAATCAAAACAGGCACAATGCCTAATAACATTGGACCCACTGTAAGTAACTGTAATACTGTAGTTGGATCACCAGTTTGCAACTACAAGTAACTACCGGTACTTGTATCTCTAATCGCTGTGCCTACATGTTCTGTGCAGGAAAATGGCATCTAGGAGTTGAAGGAAAATTCCATCCTTTTTATCGAGGTAAGAATGATTGACATTACTGCAGCGCGTTCTGGCTTTCCATACAGGACACTCTTGGTCGTCGCTATTCAGAGCACTACAGAAAGGATCTACGACCGTTCACCCAAAAAGCGTTCACAGAACGACGTTTCACCGAAAGGCGTTTCCCAGAATGACAGTTCACCGCCAATACCGATTCACCGAAATAATAATAATTATCTATCCACCGAATTTTCATTCTGTTTCGTCGAATCCCGGTTCACAGACACATTTTTTCACCGAACAGACATGTCGACAGTTCATCGAAAATTACTCTTATACATGTATATGCCCAAAATCAAAAAAATCAAAAAAGGAAAACGGCTCCTCAGGTTGGCAGGAATGGACTCGGATGGAGAGCCAAGAATTAATTTATACAAAAGAGAAAGGACCAAGGCTACAAGTTACGCTATACTGCCCACTAACACCACCAGTTACTAAACAATAACATTGCACGACACTGACCGACGGTACTCCTCCTTATGTTATTTCTATAACTTAGAACCTTCCAAGTTGGAAGGCTGTTAGAGTGCGCATCCAAGAAGTGCTAGAGCTGTTAGCCAGTTAGTTGTAGAACGTCAGCACCGCCAGTCAGTGTCGTGCAATGTTGTCGCATGAGCTGATTGTTAAGTAACTGGTGGTGTTAGTGGACAGTATAGCGTAACTTGTAGTTCCTTGGTCCTTTCTCTTTTGTACTCGAAGTATAAAAAAAGGAAAAGGTCTACATGGGACAAAATGTGCCATACTTTTAAAATTGTGCTGTGGTGAAGACTTTGAAACGGATAGATAGCTTCAAGCCTTGTTCAGTTGTTGTATGACCGCACATAAAAATGGTGTAGTGAAAGGTGGGAGTATCTACGGTGTCAACTTGTGCAGTGCCATTTGCCGGAAATAATCACATCACGGCTACACAAAGAAAGCCAGATTATGGGCAATACCACGCAAAGGCTTCCAGTGGCGGGCATTGCTCACATCTGATCACTACGGTGCGCAGGCGCTGATCAACCTTCCAGTACCGCTCCTTCCTTGCAGGCCCATCTTGCCCAGCATGCTTTCTTTCCAGGTTTTCTTGCGTGCTTCATTGCTCGTTCCTTAAGTTCTCGATCAGCTTTCACAATGTCGGGGGATGGCAGTTTACTACGGCTGAAAATCTGCAATACCAACCTTCCTGGATATTGTTGCTTCTGTGTTCTCCATTAGCCGTTCTTGTGTGGACGTTCCACCACTGATGGTGAAACAAAGGCGTTCTTCTGGTCCCATTAGTTCTTAGACCGCCAATGTAGTAAGTTTCGAAGTAGGTAATTACTTCCTCTGCCTCGGGAGGAAAGTCGGCTTCCAGTGACTCGAAGTACTCCGCAACATCTCCCAGCGGAACGAAGGCAAGGGCTGCGATCATGCGAAGCGTAACAGCAAAGTCAGATTGCTCAGCGTACGTTTGTTGCAGCCCAGCACCTTGGTTGTGCTTGTATATTATTTTGAGAAAGATGAAAAACAGCCTTTGAATTGCCACTTCAGGGAATTTTTTTGTTTGTATGCTTTGATATCTGCAATCTCGTAGTTTGTGCTGATGCACTAGTATTCCAGCTGACGTTCAGGGTTAAGATCACTCAAAGATTGGATAAGTCTCTGGTATGTATCCTGGCACTTGTCTGGTAGAACGGCATATACCCGCGGAAAGAAGTAGTTGTGCCCGGCTGTTCCGATTGTGTACAGCTGGGCGAAAAGTGGCGATCCAACTTTAAACGTTCCGTCACTGTACCATTACATTTTATTTGCATCTGCCGGGGCTGTAATGTTTTCATGAGTTGAAAACACGAGGAAGTGCTTATTCCCACTAGCAGAGCCACTGTCGGGTATCATGAACTGCTCGCTAGCAGAGCCACTGTCGTGTATCAGGAACTGCTGGCCATTTAGGCTTCACGATATTCTTGCGGGATGATAATATCTGCAGGGGAAGCTGGATTGGGTGGCGGTGCATTTGCCGCCACGCGAGCTCGCTGTGCTCTGCGGCGAAGACTGTTCTGTGATGGAAGCTGGACAACTGCCGCCAAAGACACACTTTGAGTAACCTCTTGGCCGATTTGCAGGGTAGCCTCCCTTGTGCGTCAGCTACGGTGCTCAATCGCATCCTTTACTTGTGCCTGCTCCTTTAAGGTTGCATCTGGAGCATGGCAGTGCAATCCGGTCACCTTGACAATTGAATCACCATCCGATATCAACCTTCCTTCGCACTGAAGCTCGTCTTTTCTGTCGCACCTCCAGTAGGTAACTTCATCCCGTCCTCTCTTGTCAATGTCGTACTCATATCCTTTTTGTATCCAGCAAAGACCTCCGCGCTTGGTCGTTGAGGCGTAATCTGGTGGTCCAGTGTATTTCTTCATATTTTAAGATGAAAGTAGCGAGACTCTGCTGTGATGTGATTTCAATCATGTGCCGGTATATACATGCAAATCCCTATGTGTGCCGGGATATATACATGCAAATCCCTATGTGTGCCGGTATATATACATGCAAATCCCTATGTGTGCCGGTATATATACATGCAAATCCCTATGTGTGCCTTTGGCGCCTACACTGTGAGTGTGTGGAAAGATCCACACTAAATTTTACGATTGTAACATGATACCAGAACTATCAGTGAATTAGTTAGCTTTGTCACGTCATTTAGCATGTACAAGATGCAATTTTTCTCAAGTAAAAGGAAAATATTGGGCGAAATATTGGCAAAGTTATTTATTTGGTGCAGCTGAGAGCCTGTTGCCGGAATGGCGGTGTTTTCAAGTGCAAGAAATACGCTGCAATGGAGTTTGGGAATTCTGAAGAAAAGGAATCAAATGCGATGTATATCGCTTGCATCAGAGACATGTTTTCGGTGAAACTGTATTGTGGTGAAGCTGCTATTCTCTACAGGATTGCGATACTATATCGATGTCATCAGCGACATTTTTTCGGTCAAACTGCTATGCGGCAGAACTGTTATTCTGTGAACCGACGTTCGGTAAATATGCTGTTGATGTACCTGTTTTCTTTGGACCTGATTTTCGGCGAAGTGAACACTCGCTAAACGTCGTTCTGTGAATGGTTGTTTTGTGAGCGCGTTTTCGGTGAACCGCCCACTGAAATGCCACTTTCCCGTGCATTTCTGTGTTAGACCAGACCAAAGCCCGACTGAATAGAGAGATTGTCCAGACTTGCATCTACAGTGGCTACTTCAAGTATGATAATATTATACTGTTGCAAACATTGAAAACACGCTGAGAAGTCAAGCGGCCACGGGGCGCTGGCCATGCAGCAATGATCACTGCTGGTTCCTGTTACAGTGTAATAATGTGTGTACGCGCTAAGCAAGTAAGGGTTCTAGCCCCGGTCATTCCATCGGACTCGTATGTCCACACCAGTTCGTAGCTCCAAATTTCAACATTACATAAAAGTCCCCGCGGATTTTGAAAAGTAGTACCAGATTTGCGAGAGTAGGGGTCCTCAGTTTTTTCCGAAAATGTTTAATCCGTCCAGCACGCTCTTGACATGGCCACAGCTCTATTTCATTTCTTGGTGCTGATAGATGGAACATACTATCTTGACCTTATACACTTCAAGGGTGCTTGCCTGCTGAATTTGCATCATTAGTGAAGCCACACATAGGCAACCTCAGTTGTAAAAGGTTAGAAAGGGAAGTATATCCTAAAAATCAAATCTTCACCAGTTGTAGTCTTCGGGATGCTGAGTCGAATGGTCTTGGTCTGAGAGGCTCCTTTCCTCCTTTATTCCCAATCGAACTTGCTCATTTCCCACGGAACTGGGTGACTGCGCCTACTAGATGGAGATTTGAATGCAAAATGTCACTAAAAGCATCATTTCATTCTGATAAAAGCACGGATGACCGCGATTGGCTCACAAGTTGTAGTCTTTTGGACGCTGCCGCGGAGTCGACTGGTTTTGGTCCAAAAACGCTGCGATGCAGCGTTCGACCCTTATTCCCAATCGAACACGGGTGAATAAGCGGTCACATGCTCATGCGTACACCAGTCACCTGGTCACTGTGCCCGCAGGCTACAACTTTTAAAGTGTTCCTGTCACTCGGGTTGAACTTTGAACCTTTGAGTTAAACCTTCGTGTGAAAGTTGTAGCCTGCAGGCACGGTGACCAGGAGACTGGTGTACGCACGAGCACGTGACCGCTTAATCAACGAGGTTGGATTGGGAATAAGGGCCGAACGCTGCATCGCAGCCTTTTCGGACCAAAATTAGTCGACTCCACATCCAAAAGACTCCAACACATGGGCTAATCCTGGTCATCTGTGCTTTTATAAGAACGAAACGGCGCTTTTAGTGACAAATTGCATACAAATCCCCATCTAGTAGGGCACAGTCACCCAGTTTTGGTGGAAGTGCGCGAGTTCGATAGGGAATTAAGGAGGAAGGGAGCGTCTCAGCTTCCTCAGACCAAGACCATTCGACTCAGCAACCCGAAGACTACAACTGGTGACAATTTGATTTAGGGTATACTTCCCCTTAAGGGCCGGGTTCCACCGCGGCTCCGCGGCTCCGCTGCTCCGCGGCACTTGGCTGCATGCAGCGGAGCAGCGCGGTTCCACTGTCACTCGCCATTCGCGGTACCGCGGTCGTGGTCCACACTTTTTGATGACGTTTCACCTGCCTGCGCGCGCGCGAAATCAAACAAATCCTCGTGTTCTGGCCTGCGCAACGAATTAAAATTTGAATTTTAAAATTCTGGCGTACAAAACAATGCAAAGTACGGGAAACAGGTCGAGCCGCGACCGCGGCTCGCAGTTTTTGGTCAAGAATCGTAGCAAAAGCTCGCGGTGAGCCGCGGACTCGCTGCTCCAGCTCGAGCCGCGGTCACTATGGTAATGATGACGTTTCAAGCCGCGAAAGACGAGCAGCGGAGCAGCGGAGCCGCAGTGGAACCCGGCCCTAAGGAACACATACTTGGAAGTAGTAAAATGAAATACACTGCTACCATAGGCAAACTGTGGTGAGGATAAAGCTTTCTTCCCGGGAGTCCTTAATCCAATGTGCTTAAGGTCATTCTATAATATTACTAAAAATTCACCTAGGGTTCCCAGTAAAAAGGCAACGCCTGTTGGGACTCCCCTAGTAAAATAATAAAATCTACTACTACTACAACTACCCCTAATATTATATGATAGGTTTCTCAAGCGGCCCACACACCTGGCACAGTCAAGTGCGACTGGCTATATCCATTGGCTGATGTTTGGCTGTGTTTGGTGTTTGCACTCTAAATCTACAGGCTTTGATTCCTACTATGGTTTGCCGTACAGCAACGATATGGGCTGTACAGGTACGCCAGGGTTTAATAAACCTATGATGCAGCCATGTTGCAAGGACAGCAAGTCTAGCATCTATTCCGCGGACTATCAGCGGAGAGCTGAGGCAGGCAACTGCAGCAAAAGCCTTGCTGTGCCCTTGTACCATAACGCTACCATCATTGAGCAGCCAGTTGACTTGGAAACTCTAGCTACCCGCTATGGTGACAGAGCTGAGGAGTTTATTGCTGACAATAGCACAGTAAGATGTTGAAATGGTTTTTATATTGCCTGTGTTTGCTGGACAATAACTCTTTTATTGGGAAAAACTAAAACTCACTCTATAATAGTAGTGACTGTGATATTTTTCTGGCCATGCTGGATCATATCAAACCTTGCTGAAAAACTGCCACCACCCTTTGCAAGGGCTATCTGTAAGTTTTAGGTATGAGTCCGTATGACCAATTCCACCTACTAAAAGAACCTGCAGCTCGTTGTCATTTTGGCATAATTTTTCCCTCTTCTTGCTTGTGATGTACCTCCGTTACCCATGGCGGATTGACAGGATACAACTTGTGGCACGGTTTGCGTGCTTCAATTACCAGTTGAAATGTACTGCAAATTTGCATGATTAGCTGGAATCAGCAATGCCATCCGAATGGCTTAGGCCATTTGCGTGTTGACTGAAAATTTTTGATCGATGCCAGAAAGGTTTGCACGAAATAGACAAGTTGTGTACACTGGATACAGGCTAGCCTAGGAAACCTGCAATTTTTTTGCTTCTTTTCTGGGTTTGCCTTCACTCCAGGAGCCCTTCTTGCTGTACATGGCCTTTGCGCATATGCATGTGCCACAAAACCATGCTAAGCAATTCGACAACGTTAGCAAAACTGGGGGTGAGTTCGGTAACACGCTACGCGAGCTTGACTGGACAGTAGGTCGTGTGCTGGATGCTCTGGAGAAGAATAGCAAGTCAGACAACACACTGGTGATCTTTACCACGGACAACGGGCCATGGGAAACCAAGTGCAACCTAACAGGAAGCAAGGGTCCGTTTGTTGGTGAGTGGCAGAGAACTACAGGCGGTGGAGGTGGAACAGGAAAGTTTACTACTTGGGAAGGTGGACACCGTGCACCAACAGTGGTTCATTGGCCAGGTAAGGATGATTATACTATAGCATTCCAACTATTGTATTTCTCCCCTAGCCTAGCAGTGATTGCGCAAACTTCCCTTATGCAAGAAAGAGCCTATTCTGCAGTACACGCACCGTGTTACATGCAGCATTTAGATGTTTAAATGCGTAGGTTGGGTTTCAGAATTTCCATTCTGAAATTATTGCCTCACTCACCTGCCTCACTGGTTCCTTAAAACCAACAAGTCAAGGTACTTGCTACAGTCTAGTCAAGCCGCATCATTGATTTGTGTAAGCAAATTTGACTGTGCCTGGGGTTTGTTGGTTTCTGCAGGTCACGTACCTGCAAACAGAGTCAGCCATGCACTGGCGAGTAGTCTTGACATCTTCCCAACGCTCGTGTCCATGGCAGGGGCCAAGATGCCACAAAATCGTATGTATGATGGTCTTGATCTGACCGATGTCTTGTTGAATGGCAATGATTCTGCTGGACATACACACCTCTTCCATCCAAATAGTGGTGCAGGCAAACAAATTGGCAACTTGACAGCAATGAGAATCGGCCAATACAAGATTTTCTTTGAGACAGCCGGAACAGGAGACTGTCACCAAAAATCAGGAAACGGCAGAGTGGGGATGTACCATGACCCACCACTGATCTTTGATTTGAGTGCAGACATTGCTGAAGCTCATCCACTGACAGCTACTCATGCCCAGTACCAGACAGTAGTCAGCAAGGCGCTGAAGTTGCACTCAGCCGTACTGGCTGACATTGCTACCGATAACACAACGGTTGTGGACTATGGCTCAGACGCAGCTCATAAGCCATGCTGTAACAGCAACAATGTATGTTGTCGCTGTACAGACTGAACGACTATTAGTATTGCAATAGAAGACAGTGGCATCCAGGCTGTGTGCCCATGCATTCCATGTTGCAGTGCCACATACTAGAATTATGCACACAAGTATGTGGAATCCATATCCAGTGGAATGATTGCGGCCGTGATGGTGCTGCCCTTTGAAGCTTGTCCCATGCATGAATCTAGCAATGCTGCATTCAAATGCACATTCGGTGTTCATGGTGCCAGGATGTCCTAGAGTCTGCTGATGCAGCATTTATGGTGCAACTTTAACTGATCAGTTTTTTTTATACATGAGCCGCATTTGTGGGCATCACATGAAAATTTGTAAAGAATGTTACTTTGTTCGGTGCTGGGCAAAGAGCTTAACTTTTCACCTGGTGAGTTGCAAGTACTTCAAGTACCCAATTCGAAGGGTAAAAATAGAACGGAGTGGAGAATCAAGTACAATATTCTTGTGAGATTAATCAATGCAAGGCACCTCAAAAGGCCTTGAGTGTTCCCATGCCTTAGTGCAACAGGCAGGGGTGCGGGTAAGCAACCAAATAATAGCAAGTTGAAGTACGGCCAATGCTGCACTGCATCATTTAGTATCCAAAAGAGGAACTAAATTTTTACAGTGCAAAGCATTGAGTAAATATAGAGCCCTACATTGAGACTGTCACAAACTCTTTACGGTGTTGGTGTGGTAATGGAAGGCTTCTCCATTGAAACAGCCAATAGACTGCAACATCACCTCTTCGCTCATATTACCCAAGTAGATCTGATTGCAGTTCGGTAACCAAGACATTTTGATGGGTTCTATCGTTGTCTGTGGGTATATCCGTGTGATAGTTATACATGTACATTGTGTGTGAGTGCATGTGTGTGTGTGTGTCAGGAAGTTGAACATGTGTCCTCCTTCGTATATCTTGGCAGCCTCGTTGACCCTGACTCTCGTGTTGGCCTTGAGGTTGATCGTCGTCTTGCCAGTGCATCTCGTGCATTTGGAGCACTCCACTGTGTGTTTAACACTCCCGGCCTGTCCATCCGCACAAAAAAATGCTGTACGAAACTTGCGTTCTGACTGTTTTGCTGTATGGTGCTGAGTGTTGGCCGGTTCTTCGTCGTGATGAGATCCGTATTGACAACTTTCATCATCAATGTCTACGGTGTATCCTTGGAGTCTCGCGCTGGGATCAGGAGTTGAATCATGTCCTGAATTGTGACCTCCGTAAGCATTGGGGGGATGAGGATCTGGTGTCGGACACTATGCGTCGTCGCCGCCTCCAGTGGTTGGGCCATGTAGCTCGGATGCCTGGCAACCGTCTCCCTAAGCAGTTGCTGTTTGGATGGCTTGACGCTCCCCGACCAGCTCAGGGACCTTGTCTTCGGTGGAAGGACAGAATACAGTCAGACATGAAACTGTGCCAGATTGATGAATGGTTTACTCTGGCCCAGGATTGTCAGCAATGGAGAGATGCGTACCGAACTCGTGCGCAGCGTCCTGCCCCGGTACCGCTCTCTTGCCTGGTGTGTAAACGGACATTCAACAGTAAATCTGGACTCGGACGACACAAATGTTCTGCTGATCGCCAGCTGCCTGTAGCGGAACAGCCGGACGCACGTCAATGCCATGCCTGCCTTCGGTGGTTCCGAAGTGCCGGTGGACTTGCTGTGCACAAGTGCACAACACCCGCCCCGGCATCACCACCCACACCCCAGCGCATACAATCACCAGCCCTCCGTGTTGCAACCAGCACTGCGCTACCTGTGATCGCTGTTTTAAATCTGCTCCTGGCTTTTCGGCGACACAATTGCAATCGTGGACGGCGTCGTGGCGGAGCGGCTTCCTAGTGGCAGTGCTGACTTCTCTCGAACTCTCTCTTCTACTCTCCCCTGTCTCAGGGGCGGCGTGGCCAAGCATTTGGCAGCTGTACACCAGGCCAGGTGTGTGTGTGTGTGTGTGTGTGTGTGTTGTGCTTTCCTGGTGCATGAAGGCCGAAGCAGTACGCGTACAGACGTTATTGTTGAACAGAACATCATGTTCACATTAATTTTGTTCCTTTTTCAGTCGTTGCATGTTATACTTATAGTGGACCTACAGCAGACTGTTCATCAGGTTTGTGATATTTCCTTCCTCTGTTTGTGAGTCCCTTTCCATCAATATGGCAGCTTGTTTTGATTTCCTTTTTTTCAATTCATTTTGCTGTACTTCCTGTTTTGTTTGCGTCACTGCCCCTCACCTGGCGCTCAGTTCTCTGAGTGCAGGGCGGCGTGACCCCAAGGGGTAGCTGATTGATAGTAGTAGTAGTAGTGTGTGTGTGTGTGTACGTGTGCATATGTGCGTGTCCTAGCTCTTCTTTCATTCTGCTGGGTGGTTACCAACAGCAAATGCATGCCGGAGTATGTGGTGTAGTGTGTGTGTGTGTGTAAAAAATGAAGAAGGAATATAAAAAATGAAAAATAGGGATTCATTGGCCAGAAACAGCCACTTCAATCACCTGTGTGGTGTAGACCAGGTTAAAATTTGTGGTGGTCAATAATTATTCATCAGCCTGTTGAATGGTGTAGTCCCAGCACAAGTTGCTATGTCTAACATAGCCGTTCGCTATCATCGCTTCCGCAATGGGAAGGCCTGAGGTGTGTGTGTGTGTGTGTGTGTGTGTGTGCGCGCGCGCGCGCGCTCGCAAACACAGGGATTCACCGGCCAGAAAAAGCCACTTCATAGCTGTGTGGTGTAGACCAGGCTGAATAATGCCGGTCAATTCAACAGCCTTGCAAGCTGTTGGATGGTGCAATCCCAGCACAAGTTGCTATGTTTTCTGCTGTAGCATCGCTATCATCACCTCTGGCGATGGGCGTCAAAAAAAGAATGAAAATAGGTGTGTGTGTGTGTGTGTGTGTGTGTGTGTGTGTGTGTGTGTGTGTGTGTGTGTGTGTGTGTGTGTGCATGTGCGTGTGTGTGTGTGTGCGTACGTGTCTATGATAACAAGGATATGGATGAGTGTGAAAGGTCGTACAATTGATAGTAGTAAAAAATACTATAAATTTCAGAAACAGGAACAAGGCAAGAAGTGACTTTTAAGAATATGTGTCTTGCTGGCTGTGCATGAAAACGAACAAACAAATGGGTCTAGACTGTCTAGACTGTCTATCGCTGCTCGATTACTGCATGTGCTGATGAGAGTCCTCCGGCACGGTAGAGTGCTCAATAGTGATTCGAATAGAGCTATCGTACAACACACGACAACGGATGATGTGTGGTGCTCTGTGACGTGTGTGCTGAGCTTGTAATGCAAACAAGGTTTATGGCATCCACCCTTCTTTTTCTCCATAAATAGATCCATGGTGGGATGTCTTCCTGAACACAGGAGCATCGATGTGCATGTGTCATTGACTGACCTGCATCTCAGCACCGTACCTTCAACACCCATCTTGGTCCACTGAACTTCAAGGAATAATATAACGACACTCGAGCGCAACCACAACAACACATACACGAAATAACATTTTGCAACATGCCTATAAGTATTGTGGATATACGAAAACGGTCTTCGAAATAGATCACTTCGTTTTAAAAATGTGTTTACTTTAGAGTAGTCAAGGCTGCTCAATTATTTATAGCACTGTTGTATTATGTACACCAGTACTGTAAGAGTGACGTATTGTACAAAGAAACTGTACAGAAACTGTATAGAAACTGTATAGAGATATAAATGTGATCAAGCGAGTACTTGGACTTGACATTGCTGAGAAAATTACAGCATATTTGAATACTTGCACAACTTGCCTAGTAGCCTACATTGTATATAACAATTGATGTTGCATCAAAGACCTTACGGTGCGTAAGTTCAAAGGCAGAAATATAGCCGTCGGGTGGCGTGACATGTTTGACATTTAAATCCAGCAATGCTCCAAGAACATAAACATTTGTACGGGGATCGGAATGTCTCAAAGCGCTGCCCTCTGCCGCAGCATAAGTACTGGCAGGCCCCGTCCTGGTGTGGTCCGGTCTCGTTCACTACTTCCTGTGCTATCGTGCGCATCTCACAGCGTCTTCCACGGGTACCTGGTGAGCCGAGTGCATGACTTTCTTGGCAGTAATCAGGTGTCTGCAGGTGTACCAGTGAAATGTTTGTAGTGTTTTCCTGACTCGTGCCATCAGTCGAACTATTCGTCTCCAACAGGACTGAGCTGTAGTAGAGACTCATAATGGTCTTGGATACCCGAGAGAAGGACAGTGTTGAGCCCAGGCAAGTTAGAGAACATGTTGCGCCAGGACTTGGTCTGCAGCCGCAATACTCTGACATCATGTTTAGGACGACCTGTATTCATACACATGCAATAGAAACGAAAAACGAGAGAAACACGTTAAAACAGAATTTTAGTGTCAACAAAATGTCTATAGTCATTCCAGTGAGCAGAGAGCGCTATGCTATGCTATACACCCATTGCCGTAGCCTATATCTCTAACAGGCACTGATCACAGTCACTGACTGATTAGTCAATGTTTCAGTGGCCATAGTGATGTGACAAGAATAACTACCAGATTTTAATGGGTAGTCATTACTCAGTATGATCCAGAACACGGATGATCGAGAACACAAAATTCCTAAAAGTGACAGCATGATCACGGAATTTAATTTATTCCCCTACCTATGCAAAAGACGTTACTTCAGTAACGTCGGGCGCTAGCCAGGGTCCACACAGCTTTAATTTCGTGTGTTTGTGCCGTCGGCATGCCTGGCGCTATCCCGTACCTGTCCCGTACCGTACCATCAAAGACAGCTGGCCACAATATTCAAATAGGGCTTTTAAATACAAGATCATAACGTGAAGCAACTTGGAAGAATGAGTATGTATGCGACGTGTATCGGGGGAATGCATGCAGGGCCGCGGATAGTGCGGGTTCGAATCCTAGGTTATGTCTTGAAAAATAGGAGAAATGAAAAATGTATAACATCCCTATGCTTTTTTTTGCCTAGGTTATCAAGGTGGCGGACGGTGTCATATTACCCTCGAATGCAAAGAGAAAGTTCATTTCTTTCGCTCAGGGCCCTACGCTATGCTTTTTTGCCTAGCTCATCATGCATGTTATTCGAACAGATGGAAACTTTTTGCAATACAATGATGTAGCCGATCAGTTCGTTTTGGTATGGTTGGGCATTGTAGCCGTCATGGTTGACGTAAAACACCAGGGATGAATTTATCCTGTGTCGCATCGCAGTTTGCGATGCAAAATCGATCTACTGCTACTCAAAAGTCATTGTGACTCGCAGAAAACAGCGATACATACAGACTATCCATGCCTAGCCTGTGCTGTCAAGTAGCATGCATACAGTGCAGTGTACATGTACATGTATGTGGTGCAGGCACTCTCAATCTGCATGCACTTGCACTTGCAAGTATGCTTCAGTCGTTTTTGCATAATGGGCTTTCAGGCATCACTCTCAGGAAGGAGAATGTGGTAAACACCCCACCTTCAAAGAAAAATGCCACTCGAAATCAAAGACTGCGATGCAAGAGGGATTTTGCATAGCAGAAACTGCTATGCAAAAATATGACAGTAAATTCATCCCTGAACACTATAGCCATGATAGCCAATCAAAGGAAAATACATTTCCATCAGTTCTAATAACATGCATGATGAGCTAGGCAAAAAAAGCATAGCGTAGGGCCCTGAGCTTCCAAGCTCTCTCGTTTCAGCATCAGAGTGCCAGTAGTAGCAGTACGTTCGCGATGTTATTCTTTTGATTCATCCACACATTGTGCTGCTATGGCTGATAAGATACTGGCAAAATTGTCTACATATACATACCTATTAAAAGCGTGTGAACAGGAGATTATCCGTGAACTGTGAATCATCCAATGTTGGATAACATTACATGATAGGATGTAACGTTACATGATAGGATGTAACCAGAAAGGCGTGAGTTTGTCTACTTTTAGAAAAGACTACAAGTTTGCACCGTTCCGCTTGTTTCCGTATTTCTTCGGAGTGAAGGCAGAAATTGCAATTTTGGATTTTTATAGCGGAAATGATGGATTATCACCAGTGCCCTGTGGCTGAGAACTTACCTGCAACCCAATGTCGCTGTTCAAGCGTCTGGCCTTGGCTAAGTCGTTTTCCGCCTCATCATCCAGCAACATGTAGACTCGTAGAGTTTGCAACGTGTGTTGAAGCTGGCCCCACCGTGCTGCTGCTGAGCCCGCTGCACCACGGGCCCGATCGGAAAGGGTGGTTGCATTTCCGCCGCAGTATCCTCCTGCAAACTGTTCTCGCTTGCACGCTTCGAGAAGCGAGTACGCGACGCCTGCCATTTGTGATGCCGCCACGAAGCCAGCTTCTGGAGAACCTGCGGTGAAGCAGAGGTGCAAGTGGAAGGCTTGAGGAAACCAATTTATACCATACATGTATACGTATGCAGTGTACACAGACAGTACGTATGCAGAGTAGTGATAGAATTACTTTCGTCTCAAACAAACGATAAAACACAAAACGACAGTATCGCCACAAATCAGGGAGTAGTAAAATATATTTTACTACTCCCTGCCACAAACTACAATCCGGTAATCTACAGGGGTACGGGTACGCGGGTAAGCAATGTTCAATCCGTTGGCGCTGTACTGTTGCTTCAATACAATTTTAAAATTAACGGGCATGTTGCCACGAAGCCTTGGCGATAGTATACCCATTTTAAAATGTCCATCACCGCGGTACATGATTCGTCACTTTTATAATTATGGCGAAATTAGAATTTTAAACAAGCGTTTCGGAGACAGAAGTTAGCGTATAGCAACAAGGAGGACTACAATTTTTGTAGTTTCGCTGTAAGCATTTACCATGTTTACATGATGATTGTACATGTAGTACATGTAGTATAATGACCTTTTTGTTTCTCTCTTTATTCCCCGTATTTCACTTTTTTTTGTCCATAATATTATAAGATTTGCATCTGCGCCTTTGATACTAGGCTAGCCTGCTAGAGGGTGGTGGCGTTCCCACGACGGATGCGGAAAACTGGGCTTCCAGCCGAGTCTCACGCGAACCGTGACAATTTTTTAATTATTTTTTTATAAGATTTGTTTTTAAAAGTAGTCGCCACTCCATTGTTACCATGGTTACGTAGAGTCACTGATGAATGTAACAAGTCAGTTCTGAACATAATAATCCTCTCTTTCCTTTTCGTTGTGTGCCTTGCGATCATCGTTTCACATTTTACTCATGCATGTCGACATATAGGAAATGCTTACGGCGAAACTAGTCCTCCTTGTTGCTATATTTAACTATTCTAAAATTCACATGCTCGATATCACGTCATCCAAAGAAAACAATAGGGCTGCCTCTGGCGGTGATTACCCGTGTACTCTCTACGCACTGTATGCTTCCTGATGAGGACATTGTACCTGAGCTCTATGCATATGATCACTGCTAGCCTCTCACGCGTCACGTCAACAAAACACTGAGTGATGAACATGGGACATCAGTTGCAGTTGCACAGAATTCCCAAGAAATGTGTAACGGAGAAAGTACTTGTTAGTAGAGAGAAATTTCAAAGCGGCATGCACGCCGTATTTGTTTTAAAATACCAGTACTCAAATTGAGACCAGTAATTAGGTGCTAATTGTACTTGTAGCTCTAGGTGATAAAACAGATACAACGTACGTGTGCAATTGCATTTTGTGGCCACTATATTTTATTTTTATGAGTTGAGGCGCTGTCCACAATGACGTACATGGTACCAGTGCATGCCGCGCCGCTACACTGCAACTCTGCCTGGTACCCCACCCACTGCACTACTACTACTAGTACTGGCCGCGGGGCCGTGTTGAGTCATGCGGAGCTGAGACGCGGGAACATGGTGTAGACCTGGAGAAACTGATAATACTTTAGAAGTTTAGTGGTGGCTATGGGGAGTCCTAATGGCATTCTTGCTCTTCTCGCTTCAAACAAGATTGGAGCCTATGGGCACTGGTAAAAAGAAAGGAGCTCTTGTCTTGGAGCTTTGGTCAGTTGGACTTTTGGTGGGCCCATGTGTTCACACACTCGATACATGGCACCTTGTTCAGATCAAGTCTTGGTGTGTCAGTCTAGATCGTTTCCGGTGCTTGGATGTTGAACGACGCCTCCACTCCCCACCACCGTGTGTCTTTTAAGGGCGTTCCTCTGAGCAGCTCTGCATCTACACACCGTTGCGGCCTCTTTTCAGCCAAGGCGTTACATACAGGTGATTAGATAGTCGAAGTAAACATTGCATGAACACCGGAGGCTTATTGCAAGTTATGTGTCCGCTGCATCCTGTGTCTTTCGTACCATCGGTGGCTGTCGAATACGCAAGGAGATGTTCTCGATGACTGTGTCACTTATCACATCTTTGGCGACGAACCGGCTACCCATTCAGAATATCCTTTAAGCTACTTTAAATTGTACTGTATTGTGTCATAAGCGAGCGGAAAGTAGGTGGCACGGAGCAATGTCTTTTGTAGTTTTGTCAATTACTCATGCCTCTAGAGACACATGATCCTTCCGGGTTGCAAAATACCCAGCGAACACAATCCAACATTGCATTGCATATTCCAATCTCAGCACCATAAGCGCACGAGTTAGCTGTGTGTGTGTGTGTGTGTGTGTGCGCGCGTGTGCGTGCGCGTGTGTACGTGTGTGTGTGTGTGTGTGTGTACGTGCGCGGCTGTGAGTATATGAGCGTGCAGACGCTAGTGCGGTTAGCATGGAATCTCTCCACCACGGTTAAAATAAATCATGTACACCAATCCGAGAGCATAGAGAGCACAGTGACATGCTAGTGACTAATGACTCCTTCCGTTGATGTTGCACATACTCAGCTAACGCTATACACCTCCATGATGTATCTGTGATATGTCTACATGATTGTATCACGAAGAAACAAGCCCCGCGTGCTGTTAATCTTTTCGTCCCCAAAATTACATCGTTTTCTATTTCGGGAGCAGTTTGTATGACAGCCAGACACAGTGGACAACTTCTTGCAACCCTCTGCCACCGTGTTGCACCGCGGGGCTTTGACGAGCGCCGCCAGACTGCCTTACACCGGGCAGATCGCATGCATCTAATCCTATAATATTAATAGCCATTGGACTAACTCATGAAGAGAACGGGGAGTAATACTTTCACATGCAGGCGAGATTCAGGACGTAGCTAAGCAACCGGCTGGGAATGCGCTATCAGCCATGCTCGCGCACTGGCGAAACAGTGTTCGTTATGCACTGACCAGAACAATTGCAATCACTGCCAGCTCCTTCTTGCCTTGGTGCAGCACGCAGAGCGGAAGGTGTCTCCCAAATTTCCTGCCCACTGTTGTTGCACTGAACGTGTCTTGTTCCGTCAAGAACCACAATCTTAGCATTGTAATTATCCTAGCCTAGAAACATTGCAGTCATCATGCTAGCCTGGAAGGCGGAAACCAAATCACCGCTATGACACGTCTCTGTTTCCCCAGCGCGTGTTATGTGCCCATTGCTATTGAAACTGCAGATTGATAATCATGTGCTCAAAGAAGACGCTCGTTGACTTAAAGGCGCAGCCTAATGGCAGCGGTTCAAACCTGTCTGAACAGGATACCTGTGCGATACGAAGGTTGTGTCACCTGTTCAAGCATAATACTAATACTAATAATAGAGCTGCATGCATCGCATGCTACTGTAACGCCGCCGCAGAACTACAGCAACTCAAGTGTTGCGTTGTGCGTCGAAATGAACCTGTGAGAAACAGGCCAACCCAACAACCTCCTTCCTCTGCGCACTCTGCACCAAGACAGTTATGTACTAGTACACCATCCAGTATGCACAGGGGAAATTGCCTCAACGTCATGCCACCCGCTTTGTGTCACCGTCAGCTTAGTCCTGCTGAAGCTAAGCAGCTCCAAGCGGGATAATAATCGTCTCCAGGGCATACAGCAGTACACGTGCGTACACACTGGTACATGTACACATACACTGATCAACAGCTAGCTATAGCTAGGGCTGGTATTTCTGTTACATCAGTGATCATATGCACGACGCTTTGTGTAACATGTACCTACTTGTCGGTGGTCTTCTACATGCACTACATGCAGTGTGCCTTACCTTGGCGAAGAGCATTTCTCAACATAGACCTGGGTTTGACGACACAGTTCCATTGGCGCTGAGCGAAACGTGTCCTGCACTCTTGCACAGCCATCGCTGCTCCCTTTCTGATGATGGGCAGCAGGGTGAAGTGTGTGTCGCACCAAACCCTCTGGGCGGGTGATAAACCCGGTAACGCAGTACAAGAGCTTGCAGAATACTCTGGAGCGAAGCGCCTGTTGTCCTGCTCACGAATGTACGTTGCAATACCTATCCGCGTGTGCCAGGGCAATAGTCTAAAGCAGAGAACACACACCAATGGGACATGAACTTCGGTGTATTACGACTTTCATGACTACAGGTCTAGCTAGTAATGCTAAACGAACGAGCAATGATACAAAGTTACCATACCAATAACAGCACAGCGGAAACACAAGAGAAGAAACAATTCAATTTGCCACTTGCAAGCGATACCCTTCTCAAACCAAAGGTAACGGTTCGGGTGATGACACACGTTAGTGACAGACATCATTATGCGCAGTGCTCTCAGTGACACTCAAGCGGCTTTTATGATGGCATGAAAGCGCTGACACAAAGTGCACAATTATGCCAATAGACAAGTGACTCCTGTGACGGTAAGCTGCCTAGCTGGCTGGGACAAAAGCATAATACACTTTGACATGACAGGTGCTAGGTGTCACTGTCAATGATCTCCTTCCCAATACTGGTTGGTGTGCCTATTAGCGGGACAGTGCGCGGTCTGATGCACGCTATCGTCATTTCAAACTACATAACGTTACAATGTACATATCCTTGCGTCTCATCCTACCAAGAATGTTTTCCAACGTGGCAGGCGTGGTACCGGTAGACTAGAAGGGTAGAATGCCAGTCTTTCACCAACATTCTAAACTAGAACGGCTCATGGCCTGAACTCCTGTTCATTACAGTTTCCTATTGCACTGGATTGCAAGTTCTAGTTCAATCTTACCTACTTCTATTACCAGTACCAGTGGCAGTGGTAGGAATGGAAGCCAGTAGCGTGATTCTGGAACCTCCAGGTGCTTCTGTAGCAGCATCCATCGTGTACAAATTGATGAGCAGTATAAAATAATGTAGCACGCATCTCCTCCTCGCCATCATCCTTATGATTTTGCTGTGTTCAGTCGCAGCAAAGCCTGCTACAATAAGCATTGATAGACAGGTCAAAATCCGGCGACATTGAAACTCCTCATCGTCGCCTAAGTTCGCCGTTCGTCAGCTCAACGTTATACTTGTTAGCGAGTGGGCTGCAATGCAGCGTGTCGTGGCAGGAAAGAATGGCTAGACTGAAATGCAGAACCCAAATTTGGAATAGCCTAGAAATTCCAGTATACAGCAAGTAGGTGGCAAAAGGCCTTACTACAGTTGAACTCAGGAAAACTATCATGTGTCTTACTCGATATTCTGATTGGTCGATTTGACCACCTTCCAAAGTCCTTTGCTTTTTGCAGAGACTTTCATCTCTCTAAGGACGACTCAGAGTCGATCTCTCAACGTTCAGAAGCTGGGGTCAATTCTGCCTGCTTGTTGTGAATGGTATGAATGACTGGAGTATACACCATGATTGTAGTGGAGTCGCTGCTCTTTCCGGCGCTAATCGGCGCACTCGAGAACCGTAATAGCTGTCATAATTCGTTCAGGCACACACGCTATTGCAGCACTCGAGGAAAGAAGCTATTCAACGGTGCTTGCCCTCAGTGCGAGGAAATCGCCTTATAGTATACCCCAGTACTTGCTATTTTCCACCCTGGCTTGCTCAGGGCATGTGGCAAATATCTTGATGCCATGCAGCACTACCTGGCCTGGCCTTGGTTACAAGAACCCGACGGTCTATCCTTCTCTTGTAGCGTCGACCGGGTTCGACATTGATGGTGAATGTTAGCTATAAGCATGATGGAGTATCGCGGAGCTACCCGCTGGCTGGAGACAGAAAACAGGTTTGGAACTTGTCAGAAACTCAGTACATTTGCACGTGGGAAATGTGATAATGCTAGTGCCTGTGGGGACTGGGTGCTCCCATAGGCATGAAGCCATCATAGCTATGAAAACCATAAGTATTATACTCGCTACCCGATGGGAATATGTGACCAAACTCGAAAGTATCGAATTGTTACTAATTTGTTAGTGAACACTCGACGACATAATTATACATGTACACGGACATATTATACCACAATAAAGTAACTTGATAATGGGGAATGTTGGAGACCCAGCATATTTCAATTCCCTCGTGAGGTATTTCCGCATTCTTTGATAACTTTGTTACAGAAACCCCTTTTCAACGATCGACTTCGACGCATAGGAAGTTCTATCATTGGTGGCGGGATGTGTTTGTGCTTGAGGCTACTGTCGTGATGATTATGCAATAGTCTCATTCTATCTTTTCGCCTCACATGGCTGGTACACTGCTGAAACTCACATTGTTGTGTGGGTGCACATTCGGCTTTAGATCAGCATTAGATCAGTAATTGTCAATCCCGATTGCTGTACGTTTGGACTCACGAGTCATCCCGATTGCTGTACGTTTGGACTCACGAGTCATGTCTCAAGCAGCCATTTCTACTTCCTTACGAAATCACCATCATCACAGCGGAGACTTTAGCCACGGAAGACATGCCCCGATGAAGGAGGACAGTCCGTAGAGTAAAGCCTGCTTCGATCGCCTTCAGGGACCTGTTAACTAAGTAAATTGGAAGGGATCACCCTCCCCTACGTCATCTAATTTGTAGCCTCCTTGCTTTACAGTATGATCACTGCTATCTGCGCACAGTCTTGCTGCACACAGTCTTACTACGCACAGTCTTGTCAGATGCATCCTGCCTGGTGTCCCAGTGGTGACGGGTCAGGCAGGTATGACTATGAGCCTTACTACATGTACATGATGTAGTACCAAGAGGTTATGTACTCGTAAGAAAGGGTTTGCTCCCCACACCGGAGCTCTTAGTTATGTACTCCTGCTAGTAGATCTACCCCATTCGATTTCCTGTAACGGTGGGATACTGTAAAGGGGTGTGAGAGATCTCCTCCTCCCCCCCCCCCCTCTCTCCAGACACACACACACGCGCGCGCGCGCACGCCCTCACGTACGCCCACGGATTCATTCTCGACGCGGTAAAACCAGAAGACCACATGCCATCGTGTCTACCTTCGGGCAGAGGAGGTGATAATGAGCCGTGTTTCTTGAATTTGCTCGTCTGTGACGTCTTACATTCTTTTGCACACACCACTGCGCACCATGCTGCTATGCTTCAGTGCTGTGGGTGGCCAGCTGATTCCTGCTTCCGCATTGCCTGCACTGGCCGCAGCGCTGAATTCGTTCTCTCCTGTGTGACACCAACACCATACAGTGTTATGGATACCGTAGGTCTACGCGTATGTTTACTGAATGCATTGTACACTGTACATGTTGGCACTTCCTGTTCGAGCTGCGTTGCTAAACATGACTTCTCTATCGCTACAAAGCGTGTTGAGAGTGTTGTGCACTCTTGACATCGAACAAAAATCATGTTATGTATGGTCTCGCCTGCTTTCTTCCCCCAGTCAACCACAGCACAACTCCTCACCTGCAGAATGGTATACTACATGTCTTGTTTTATTCAAATCCCACAAGTGAATAATAGCAAGAATGTACAAGAGAAGAGCTAGAGAGAAAAGGGAAACCAAGGACGATGGTATACTAGTATCCTATTTTTGCTTCGGAAACTCCACAGTACTCCACAGTACTGAGTAGTAGCGAGTAACGTTAACCGAACCGGGAACAAATGAGGATGTTATAAAATAGAACCATCGGTATTACTCGGAGGATCGTTATGTATGGTGATACTCCTGGCATGGACTGTGTCCCATTTTTGTATGCTACAGAGATGCCTGGCAGTCGCACTGTGCATCTACTGCTTACACAGCTGCATAATGTCGTTTTTTATTATTTTTAAAATCTTACTTTTATTATTTTTTCGGCAACGCAGATGATGATGATGATGATGACAAGTGGGGGGGGGGGGGGGGGGGGACTTTCGACGTAATAGGAGAATGCATTGTTCACTTTGCTTTACAAGAGGTATAATAACGCCATGGTCATTGGTGCTGTCATGCTGTAGGTTTTCGAAACCTTACCTTTCTGTTCCCAGGCATGCAAGTACACTTCGATACTGCAATGGGTCGTACAGATGCTCCTTATCGCAGCAGAGGTCTGGGCTAGTGCCTTAGTGGGTGGTGGGTGCCGATCATATCCACTACAAACAGCGTTGGAGACTGGACAAGGAGACGAAAAGTTTGTGCCAAATGTTCCCTGACCATGGGCATAGTATCTACATGTACAATCATGTATCTTGCAACAGCCCAAGGCAAGGATACAGTTCGGATCTGCAAATGAGCGGAGGGGGAAAACAATAGAGTGAGGTCGGGCATGTGAATACAGCAGCTCGGAGAATGTGCGGTCACTACAGTACTTATATCCAGTGTAAGCACGCGGCTAGGCTGTGCAGTGAAGGTGGTGAGTGCGGATTCTGCTCTATGACTGCGAGGCTGAAGTCTATTTCTAGTACCTTCCAAATCCCATTCGGATCCGCTGGATGATCTGTAAGTGGAGACTCACGTCAAGGTCATAATTATACAAAAGTCATGTAGTCTGCATGACTACTCCTGTCGTCCTGACAGACCTCAACCCTGGTGTTTGTCTTGTATGTCCGATATCTGGATATAAGTAGATGGACTACAATCAGTCATGTGGGCGTAGTAACGTTCCGACGGTCTGCAGGCATGTGAAAATGTTGGGTGTACACAAGTGTGGGTTCGAAGCCTTGAATGTGCCGCCCTTCGGCCGCTATACCTTTACCTGCCTGTCCCTCCATGTACAATGACAATGTGCATGTTGCTCCGATTGTCCTCTCATCCAGCCTCGTTGTACTCGTCACGATGTTTTGAGTTTTATATAATGGGTGTCAAACAATGTAATGAACGAGGGAAGCCTACCAGCCATGGAATAAGAGAACAAGAAAGCAAAATGCACACGCAAAATATGGCAAGTATAAAATTAAAATTAAAGTAAATCAAAACAGTTACTAGCTTGTAGTCGATCCTCCCTGGCTACACTCCTACAGGCTACGAGAGTGTGTGAGCAGACCACAAAGCCATACACGTAATAATGCCTATGCACTCTGCTGCATCGTGAAGCAACAAAACTACGCATTAGCTTTGTGATGACCAAGATTAGGGGCAAGATGGCCCGGAGGATGTTGAGTGGGTTTACAACCAGGTTTGAAGTGGCGAACTGACAGAACCAGCTTACGAATTTCTATTATCGCTCCTTCAAGTCCTTGCTCAATTGAAATTATAAAATGATCCCATCGACAAACAGGCCCAGGTTGTGACTACTCCGACCTGACCGGCCACATGTGGCAGTTAGTTGGCACACAGCACAATCCTGCTCTCCAACGTGCGTGGTAGTCCGGCAATAAACTTTCCGATCTGTTGTTGACTTCGAGAAAAACGCAAGAGAAAATAATGGTGGCTCAGTACTTCAGGCGGAGATGGAAGATGAAATGAAACCGAGCCACTGACTCAGCCGAACCAATGCCCCAACAAAGGGCAAGTTAGTGGCAGCTATGTAGAGAACTCGCGTATGCATTAGGGGGAGATTGCTGCGTGTGCTGTGCTGTGATGTTGAAGTCGACGGTTTCGCATGCATCCTGCGTTCAGCGAATGCCCGCAAGCGCGCCGCACAAAGCCACCGAAAGTCGGCGATGCTATCCAGCCGGAACGCCCGATCGGAGCTGGATGGCTTTCATCTTCCTCTCACTGACCATTGCACTGGCCTCCATGAATGGACATGGCCTACTGGCTTTCGAAGGAGCAGATGCAGCGCAAGCCCGAAGTTCAACTCGGCCAGCGGAAGGCGTAGGGGACCGTCGCTTATCCTACGTGGACCCTCAGGGGCGCATTCAGAAACGCATCCACGGCGAACTACCAGGTACGATACAGCTAGAGGTTGTCGGTTGACGAATCTCTTCAGCACACCATTTTTTTCTCTTTTTCAGGCACGATACCAGAAAGCTCCTAGATATTCGCCACTGTAGCGTTGGCATTGCGTTTGAGAACGGTGGGGGGGGGGGGGGAGGTGGAGAGGCATACAATGATACATCATTGTGTGTAGATCTACATTCTTTCAGCTACGTTTTAGTGTTAGCCAGGCCTGCAGGACATGCAAACACAGCACATCATGAACCTGGCGTGTATGTTTGGGGCGAACCAATTACACTCATAACGTTATCTCTCATAGCCAGATCTTCAAGTTACAGGCACCTCGGTCTACCGGGCACCCTGAGGGTGAGTTTCCGTGAGTGGAAATATCACTATTCTTTTACCAATTTTGTGGAAATAGTGACATCATATGCCAGATCTCTGACCCTTCCTCATTGAAACGTATGTGATCTCAGAGTGTTGAACATTTCCAAGATATGGCCAGTGCCCGGTCCCAGACAGCCCGGGTAAGAGAGATATGAATGCATGTGTACCGAATATTCAACTACCGGTACTGGCTCGGTGGAAGGAGATTTTAGAGCCCGTGCTTCGGCCTGCTATTGACAGTTGCATGGAGTGTTTGGCCCATGAGCAGCTGGCTTGGAGGTAATCCTGGGATAGTAAGGGACACATGGGAGATTGAAGAAGAGAACATGATGGCGCAAAGAAGTCAAAGCAAGAGCGGAAGTAGAAATGCTTACCCTGGATTACTGGTGAATTAGTCACTCTCATTTACCCAATTCTCCTACTGCAAGCCTATGTCCGGAGCTCTCTTGCCCTCAGGCACGAGTAAACAATTGGTCAGAGTTGCTCTACGAGTTGAGGAAGGCAAATAAGTTGAGCAGCAGTATATTGATGAGCACAGCAATGCTGACAGGGTGTAAGATAGAGAGAGAGAGAGAGAGAGAGAGAGAGAGAGAGAGAGAGAGAGAGAGAGAGAGAGAGAGAGAGAGAGAGAGAGAGAGAGAGAGAGAGAGAGAGAGAGAGAGAGAGAGAGAGAGAGAGAGAGAGAGAGAGAGAGAGAGAGAGAGAGAGAGAGAGAGAGAGAGAGAGAGAGAGAGAGAGAGAGAGAGAGAGAGAGAGAGAGAGAGAGAGAGAGAGAGAGAGAGAGAGAGAGAGAGAGGGAGAGTGAGAGAGAGAGAGTGCGTGTGTGAGAGAGAGAATTGCGTGACATACTCATATTGGGCCAGTCCTTTAAATTTGTAAACCAGTTGTAATGGAGTCTGCCACATGGCCCGGAATTTGGTACCAAACTATTCATGAACTATTCAAGTGTCAAGTTCGGCAATAAACTATTCATGATTCGTATAATTCAGGATATCAGCTCCCGTTTCCAAACAACTTAGGTTTGGCTTGGTTGAAGATGGTGATCAGGCGATTCAATGACCAATGGTGTTCTAGACCCTATACGGTATCGACTCACCCATATGTTGGTGATAAATCACACACCGAGAGGATAGTATGCTTGGATGCACTGCACCACGCCCTGTGATATTGTCAAGAACTGACATCCGTATAGAGGATTGACACTGGCTGCAATACATTCAGCACAAGGAGTCGAACATATGTCGTGTGCGGCAGTGAACTGCATTCCCAAAGTCGTCCATGCCTCCGTAAGGACAAGTAATGCTTCGAGTGAAAATTTCCACCCAATTTAATGTATCTAGTATGGTGCAGTCTTTCCATCTTGGTACAGAGATTCAATAATTCGATTGGGACTATGGAACAAACTGGCTGCCGTAGCTTCCTTGGACCAGCACACTGCGACTCAGCACCTAAAAGACTGCTTCATGCAAGTGGCGACATTGTGATTTTAGACCTTACTTCCCCTTTCAGCTCTATTTCGATTTTTAGAGGATGCAGCAAATCACTATAAACAATGCATTGTGCAGTCCATTGCCAAGTCTTTCTTGTCTGTTCTCTTTTTGGGGCTTTTGTTATGTGTTATCAGCTGCCAGAGTTACGGTAGATAGCAGTGGCTGGATTCCAAGGTCATCAGAAATCTGCAAAAATGACAAGATATTATTTGTGTGCAAGAACAAACCTGGAACCGCCACGGTGCACCATTCCTCGTATAGCTGGCTGTGGATCAGTGAAGACTATACATCGACGTTTTCCTGGAGTAATCAAAATGTGCGACAAGGTAGCATCCGTGGCTCATGCCGCCAATCAGCCGACGTTGTTAAGGTGTCCTCCTACAGTAAATACACGCTGCGCTGCTTCAATGGCATAGTGTCGAATGGCACGTTGGTGTGCCGGGTCAGGTCTGTCGTGGACGGATACGGTACGTATTGCGCATATTCCAGTGTCGGCGTGCAACACCTCAACCCACGCCTTAACCATATAAAATTCTCTTCTGGAGAGAGAACAGCACTGATCGGTGGCCTGGCCTTCATGTTCACAACCCCAAGCCGATTCGAAGTCCAACATCTAGGAAGCAACTCCCGGCACTTTCATGTCGACATCAAATGCCTGGCGTATTCTGAAGAGAACACATTCTGGTCGTACCTGGCTGCCGGCCGTGAAGGCAAGCCTAGAGAAGGCCTTCTTGGTATGGGAAACAGCTACAGAATATCTCACTTTGATAACAGTCTACACAGTGGGCGTTACACATGTTCCAGTGTGAGTCTATCGGATCATGGAACTGCGGTGAATGAGTCCTTTTCAACATACTTGACAGCACCAGGTAAGGCAATACAAATGGCAGAAAGAGACTAGGAACTGTTTTACACTCTAGTGGCTAAACCAGGGGGGGGGGCGGAACTGGTGCGGCCAAAGCCGCACCAGTAATTCCATTTGTTGTGGTTTTTAGTTAAAGCAATAAAATGTTGTTTTTCTTGGCCCAATTTTCCAAAAAAATAACCGTGGGAGGCTCTTAGGACCCACCTCTTGATGTCCGCACCAGTGTGGAATACCTTCCGACGCCCCTGTAATTTATTACAGTGAAAATGTAGAGACTTTTGCTAAGAATTCACTCTCAATTTTTTCATTGAGTTCAGGCCATAAATAGTTAACCGGGGCAACTAAAATTAATAGTACTTCAAAGTATGTTCCATTGCAATTTGAGCCCGGGGGGGGGGGGGGGGGCTGCCAACCATTGTATTCAAATGTAATTCATAATTAACAGTTATATGGGCATAGTTTAGGCTTGGCTATCTGAAGTTCACATCCGACCCCAAGAACCAAACACACTCTGGGTGGTCATTTGCGACATGACCAATATTGCAACGCCAGTAGTCGTCAACTTCTTATTTTGTAGTCATGACGATCCTATGAAGTGCAACTATGCACACTCGTGTAGTAGCACAGTGTATATATACAGTGTATATTGCCTTCATAACCACACGTCTATGCTACATACACCTTCATAACCACACGTCTATGCTACGTACACCTGCATGTATGCTGTATAGGGTGGCTTCACTTTTTTTGTCATGTAACTTAATAAAAATAATATTTGTATAGAAAGTGATCATGACAAGGTCACAATAGAACAAACATGGCCCGTATCGTATAACCTAAAGATGCAGGCATTGAGTGGAGTTGGAATCAACATAGCCACCCTGCATGATCACGTGATAGATGTGCTACCACTATGTCTTTATTCTTGCTGTCTCTTTGTGTCTTTCTGTCCAGGTCATGCTGTTGTTCGCTTCACACCCAATATTGTCATCACTCCTTCTACTGATATGCTAACGTACACTGGCCAGGAAGTCACAGTGAAATGCTATTCTCCTAATACACGTGTGCAGCTATCCTGGGCCAATGTGAGCATGTTGAATGCTAGCATGTACACAGAGAAAGTGACACATGGCTCCAATGTTGCCACTACGGCCATCGGCATTCGCATCCGTAACGTGCAGTCGGATTTGCGATTCAGGTGTCGCTCACGCATGGCAGGAATCCACCGGAGTGCAGTGGCAGTTCACATACGAGTGAAAAGTAAGTTTGAGTTAGCCGGTGTGATAACGTGTTAACAGAAGAATGGCAGTGCCGCCACCCGTTTCACATGCTGATTGGTATGTGTACTTCGAGCATGATGCATGCCACTAGAGCTGTGCAAATAAAGTTCAGACAGTGATGCCTTTTTGAGTGTAAGTGCTAATAGTGGGCACGTGTGATTACACACCTGCATACAAAGAATGGGCCCCAAACTTAATTGTCCAAGATCACACAAGTGATCATCGGACACCATACGCTGTTCACTTGTGTGTCTGACCATCGCTTCGCGTGAAACTCTCTGAGTAACAGCAATACAGTTTTGTTCTTCAGGACCGTCTGAAACAGTTTTGGATTGGTCCGGCCATACCATAGCCCTTCACACACTGTGCAGAAAATGGAGGGTACGAATACACATGACCTCCTTTTGAGCTGGTGTCCGAAACGTTGGTCCAGCAATGGCCTGATCACTGAACCAGATCGGTTCTGCCGTGCCTCTCTATAGTGTACACATGTACATTTGTACAAGGCTCTGCATCTAAGTGCTTTGAGCTTTCTTGAGCTGCCACAACTCGCTCTTAGTATTGAATTACACATGCATATCATGCATTTTTCTTCTCTTTTTTGCTTGACTCGTTCAAGTCCCAGCAAAGTCCCTAAATGATGATTGCACAAACTATAGTTGCGTCGAAAAGTTAGTTCAAAGCAATAAGGAGAGTGTAGTATTTTCATTCTTCAAATTTTGTAGATGAAGCTGTATGATGCAATGAAGTCAGCATGCCGCACACCTGGCCCATAGAAAAGGGGTGGCAGTTGCTTACTCGTGATCATTGAATCATGATGTACTAACAAGAGTACCTACTAGTATCCCGAAGATGGCGCAGCTGCAGTTGTTGGGTGTGCAGACAGAACTTTGAATTCCGTGGCAAACCCATACACACTGCAGGCGCTTAGCCAATGAAGGGCACGGGGGGGGGGGGGGGGGGCATGTGCACCCCCCCCCCCCACACACACACCACCACCACTCCTCAAATCTTTGTTTAGGATACGCATGTTTGCTCCAAATAACCTGGAGGTTGCAGTTCCTGAGTGCATGCTGCGAAGTCAGAATCGAGTGTCAGTGAGCACTGTCCACGTGTACTTTTGTAGCTAGCTTTAGCCGCATATAGCTGCATGTGCCTGTACAATAAACCAGTAAACAGAGGCCCCCCATACAGTATTATTCCAATTACAAACTTACTGCTATTGTAAGTACAAACTGCTTCATGAATATTTCCACTGTGTACTCCCTAGCTAAAAGATGACTCGACAATGCATCTGCACTGCCTGTCCGTTGTACACTAACTTACCTTTCATTTATCCTGTAGGGACCCGGGAACTTCCCAAAATAACGTTCTGGGCAGACTTTCTATCCGATGTGATGAGACTAAATTGGATAGGGAACACAAGTCACTTGGATTACTCTGTATTAAGATGGACGCTGGCATACACAGTCAACAACACAAGGCCTTGGTTACTTGTGCCAACTGCATCCTACTTCGCTAACAGAGGTAGGTCCTTGTCATTGCGACATGCTATCTATTTTCCAAGTTGTTTCTACTAGTATAACGTTGTTCACACTGCCTGCTCTTACATTTCTCCGCGATGTTACATCACTATAAGCACGTTTCCCTGGTGTGAAGCAGTCTGCTGTGTAAACAGAAACACAAGTGGTAAAATGGTGGTAAAACACACCCATGTGTAACGATTTGCTGGTAAATACACGCCTGAGCTGCCAGCGGGTTCTGGCGAAGAGGACTCCTTCTCCTCACCACCAGCATCAGGCATGTCTTTTCCACCATTTCACCAGATGTGTCTTTTCCACCATTTCACCAGGTGTGTCTTCTTCCAACATTTCTTTGCTATGCCTGATGCTGCGTAGCAGTCTTCACATAATTCTGCTCACAAGCCTGGCTCGGCATTAGACGGTGTTCACAGCCATTTTAGCTCTTTTTCTTCCCGTTGAGGTTGCACTTGTGTTTATTTTGCCTGTACAAGAGGCCTGGGTTTCCAGCGCGAAAAAAAATGCTCACAAGTGTCACTTTCATCCTTTAGGTTTTCTGTGTAATGGCATGTCAAGCTTCAATGAATGTGACACGCTAAAAGGACGGTCCATGTTGCAACCCCAACACAGATGGTGATATATCGAGTTGCCCTGTGGCTTCAAGCGCGGCTCCCAAATTGTATCCCTGCACAGCTGCTACCTTCATAGAGATCTTCCCAGTCATTTAACTTGTATAATATTATAGTCATGCTGCTTGTTACTGGTCGGTCCTTTTCTCCTATCATGTTTGGCAGAGGTGATATATGGTCAAGAGACCACCTGTTTTCAGGATCCTCGTGATCTAAAAACCACTACATTACTGGCTGGTGTCGTAGATCGAGGGGGGGGGGGTCTTTTATGTTTAATCTAGAACTGTCTGTAGCTGAGTCACCCAGTACATATAGGTATCCTGTACCTGGTAAAATTCTACCTTATTCATTCTTCAGCACATCATTCTTCGGTGCTCGGCAGTATTGTAAATTCAATTGTAAATGTGTGGAATATGCAAGGAATCGCCCCAATGACCAGACTGGGTTCAGAGACGAGATGCTTTCAAAAAGTACGATAGTCCAGTCCCATGAGTGGTGATCAAAATCGGCTTTCACCTGTAGGGACTGATGTTTGGAATTGCTGTGCCTGTACTGGACTGTATTGGACTCTACTGGACTGGACTCTACTGGACTCTACTGGACTGGACTGTACTGGACTGGACTGTACTGGACTGGACTGTACTGGACTGTACTGGACTGGACTGTACTGGACTGTACTGGACTGTACTGGACTCTACTGGACTCTACTGGACTCTACTGGACTCTACTGGACTGGACTGTACTGGACTGTACTGGACTGGACTGTACTGGACTGGACTGGACTGTACTGGACTGGACTGGACTGGACTGTACTGTACTGGACTGGACTGGACTGGACTGTACTGGACTGTACTGGACTGTACTAGTCAGCAAAAGTCACTTACATTGTATCATGTACGCGTTTTCATAATGTACTTTTGTGTTCTGCAGGCAATGGCAAGTTGAACTCGGTTCTCTTCCACACCTATTCACCATACAATGTCTATCAAGTACAGATCAGCCTATCCCAAACTAACCTAACCAACAACCATTCGGAGCATATTGAAATGTTCCAGACCTCCTTCCTGTCGCCACTTATTTTTCATCCGAAATCAGGTATGGGAGTGAGAGTATTTTTTTTTGTAGCAAGCAACGGATAACGTAGTGTACGAGCAGGGTTCAAAAATGCACTGTACGAGTGCAGCGCGCATCTGACCCTGCCTGTACACTTTATGGATCATAATTTGCAAAAAGTTATTAAGTTCAAAGTAATGGATGGCTAAGGCAGCCATTTCCTATATTCCAGCAGCACGGTGCACTTTCCGTATTAATGGCTTTTAAAGTTGCACTTTGAACATGTTTAAAGCAAGTTTGAAGCACACTAGAAGTCGTTGCAATCTTCAATTTACCAACAGGTTTAGTTCATTACAGCTGAAAGACGAGTCACGGGGAAGTGGAAAGGGTTTTCATAGTCATGATTTCGTGTTGATCTGTGTCCAGGTCCGGTCAGTGATATCATATTCCATCTTGGAGTTCCAAGGCATCACATCTCGTGTGCGCAATGGAGCAGCATCAGAAAAACAAGTCATCTGAGGAACCAGGTATGGAATATTTGAATTTTTATTTGAATTTTTGTATTCCTGTGACATAACCGATGTGGTGATTGTATGGGTGCTGACAAGAGTACATAACCCCCCCCCCCCCCCCCCCCCAGAGTGTGCAACTCCACTATGGGTGCTGTCCCGACAGAATTTCAAGTTGACGTCATTTTGATGATGCAATGCGCACTGTACACGGATTATCAGACGAATCCGGAACCTGTGGTTGACCGAAGCTGATCGATCCTGTGCAAAGAAAAACGTGTGATGCGTTGACACCCGTACACATGTTGTAAATCACTGGTGCAATGAGCATTGCGTCATAAATAATGACGTCAACTTGAAATTCTGTCGGGACAGCAGGGTATGTGGGAGTTGCACACTCTGGGGGGTTACGTACTCTTGGTGCTGAGAAAGTATGATACAGGAGTTCATCTCCACTTGCCACCGGTAGACCTCTGGTGTTGAGTTGGGCACGGAAAGTATCGCATGTGAAGTGCTATTGGTCGCTCACTTTGGACATTTGAAATTTATAATATTACTCTAATGCAATGATACGGAAAAAGAAAAGAAAAAAGGAGCTCTTCAGCTCTGGATAACGGCCAAGTTGTGTGAGATGTTTCTCCCTAGCCTTCAAATAAAGCTCTAGTTGCAGCAGGAGCCGTTTGAAAGTACTGATCAACAGAGAAATGACCATTTCCACAATCTATTGCTGGGCATCTGCATGGAACATTTCGGTTCTCCTTGTCCGATCACCCGGAGATCACCCGGAGATCACCCGGAGATCACCCGGAGATAAGTCTACTGTTCACCAATGTTCTACTATAATTTCCCTTCACCAGAAGGAAAGAGTAAATTTAAAAGTTGATCCAGACCTCCTTTTAATGCACCTGTATCTACCCTGCATTCATTTTCCTCTGGATATTGCTTCTGATCATTCATAAATTCAAACTGAGATGTTGCGACTCTGGCAATAAGCCATCCGCCCTAAATAAAACTGAAGTCTTATTCCGAATGAATTCGGACCCTTTGTAATTCAAATTTTCTGACTTTTTTTCTACCATGTTGTTTCTGTAACTTCAGGTACAGGATGCATTCATCAGGACAGTGAGTCGCTTTGTGCAGACGGTCTGTGCCACTTGTCAGCTGCAAAATATCACACAGGGCGTGTTTGGCTGTGCGAATGGTGAGAATACAGCACGGCTCAGCGGTCAGTTACTCTATCCCAATGTAGAACAGCGGCAAATAGAGGATTACGTACGCCTGCTGGCTGACGGACAGTTTGCTGTGACTCTGCTAACCAGTGTTCCCCAAAGTGTATCGAAATACCTTGGAGCAGACTGCACGTTGCGTCACTCATGCCATCAGTGGAAGCTAACTGTTGACAGTGTCTGTATTCACACCAGTCGCAGCACTGATCCTCTCATTGTACCGTCTGGCCACAGAAAGTACCTATCCAGAAAGTACCTATCTAGAACGTTTCTTGGTCTTAACACACAGCAGTGTTCTAGATTGCCAAAAGCTCAGCAAGTTGATGATGTGAAGTTGTGATGTGAAATTTCTTGAGACAAATATTAGTTTGAGTGAGTAGTCAAGGCTCTTGATGCTATTGAGGTTGAAATCTCTTGGCCCATGTACAATAAATGTACCAGCAACTTAAGTCTTCTTTTCTCATTTCCCTACTCCATTCCCTCAACCTATGAATATTTTCATAAGAAGGGAGGATTCAGGAAATGTACACAGGAGCCGATTCTGCGGTGGATCATTGTGTAGTTTGCCAGGCCATGTCATAATGTGAGTGTGTATGTTTGTGAGGAGGGGGGGGGGGTTGTCGGGGAGGGGGTGGTCTCGGGGGGGGGGGGGGTGGTCGGGGAGGGGTGGTTGGGGGGGGGGGGTGGGGGGGTCGGCGAGGGGGGGGGGCTTTGGAGTACTAAGTCTTAATTTCACTGGCAAGCTGAGCCTCCCGGAACGAGCAATTACTACCGAGTAACTCCGAGTGGTAGTGTTCAGTCAAATAATCAATAGGCTACCCAGAATTAATTTGTTGTTTCGGGTCACTTCACTTCACTCATCCGTACCTGGGTAGTATTTTATTTTTTATTATTTTTGTTTCTGTCATATGCATACATATACATGTACATGTATGCACATTACAGACCATTGTATGACCACTATGTAGACTGTGCATATCGAATATCCAAGTTTCTGTCCATCAAGCCAGTCGATCAAATCTGACCGTAGACGCAGTCATTGTCCCCTCAGGACCGGATCTTGGCTTCACTGACCAATGAGTCTGACGAGCGGCTCTCACCAAACCTTCTGTCTTGAATGAGCGATGAGGTGACGGAGCTGGTGCTGTTTCAGGACCGATTGGGGATCAGCGGAAACAGAAGATAACGTTGTCACCAAGCACTGCATCCTGTCATTTGGCTGCTTCCGAGGTCGATGTCTAGACTGCTGAAAATCGACCGCGACCTGCGGATCAGGAATGATCTACTCTAATAGTAGTATCACTTCAGTTACGGTCTGGGAGTTTTCGACGCAAAAGGCCATACTGTCGGCTGAAAGTGTTGTCCCATCCAACACGGCAGCACACACCGCTGGCATGTTAGAACAATGTTCAATTTCGTCCCTGGTTGCTCTGTACAATGCTCTGTGGAAGCGAAATTGAAATGTGAGAATGCTTGAAGCCTATGCAGGCATGCCCGAGATCCTTTCGGAAGCATTCCTTGCTCCTTACTGTTTTCTTGCGTGGGGTTAGGATCATTAGGATTGAGTGTGTACACAGTCATTTACACTGTACACAATAGCACATGCACACTAAAATTACGGCCGGGTGAAAAATTACGGTCGGTCGGGTGACCCGAAACAACGAATTAATTCTGGGTGGCCATAATAGATTTTGGAACTAAGGATGAAACAGTTATGATAACTCCCTTTCATTCCCTCACACTGTTGAATAATTCAATAAGTTGTAATCATGAATTATCATCTTCACTTAGTAGATCCCCCTCCACATTTTCCTTCTCTCTATATCTCTCTCTATATATATCTGTTTGTCTGTCTGTCTGTCTGTCTGTCTGTCTGTCTGTCTGTCTGTCTGTCTGTCTGCCTGGGTCTGTCTCTCTTTCTCTTTCTCTCTCCGTCTCTCTGTTTCTCCGTCTCTCTGTTTCTCTGTGTCTCTATCTCTGCCTGTCTCTCTTTGTCTTTCTCTCTGCCTCTCTCTCTGTCTCTCTTTGTCTTTCTCTCTGCCCCTCTGCCTCTCTAGGCTGTCCCCCTCACTCTCCCTCTCTCTCTTTCTCTCCCTCTCTCTCTCTCTCTCTCTCTCTCTCTCTCTCTCTCTCTCTCTCTCTCTCTCCCTCTCTCTCTCGCTCTCTCTCTCTCTCTCTCTCTCTCTCTCTCTCTCTCTCTCTCTCTCTCTCTCTCTCTCTCTCTCTCTCTCTCTCTCCTCTCTCTCTCTCCGTCTGTCTCTCTCTGCCTCTCTCTTCCTCTGTCTCTCTCTGTCTCTCTCTGTCTCTCTCTGTCTGTCTCTCTCTCTCTCTCTCTCTCTCTCTCTCTCTCTCTCTCTCTCTCTCTCTCTCTCCCTCCCTCTCTCTCCCGTTCATTTCTCTCCAATCCTTTCTCCTCTTTTCCATCTCTCGATTTTCTGTTATCATTACTGGGGCAGACAACAAACAACACGTGCAGAAGCAGCAGCAAGGACGACGACGACGACGACAACAACGACGACAACGACGACGACGACGACAACGACGACGACGACAACAACAACAACAACAACAACAACAACAACAACAACAACAACAACAACAACAACAACAACAACAACAACAACAACAACAACAACAACAACAACAACAACAGCTCAATCCTCCGTCCGGAGCAGGTCTGTTTGATGTAGAGATTCTAGGTAGGGATGATGCATGTGCATCATGCGAATGTCGACATTGCTGAACTGTCGAATGAGAGTAGTACAGATAGTGTTGTTCTAGATTTCACGTAATTGATATGCAGGGTGCTTTGTCGATATTACTGTACACCTCAAGCTTGCTGCTAACCGCTGCTTGATACTTGGCTGACTCACGGCTCCATTTAGAGCACAGAAGAAGCACTTGTCAAGCCTTCCACTCGGTGAGCCTGCTAAATGCACCGTTCAGTACACCGTGTTTCTGGGAATACGACTTAAACCAATTGACATTGAGGAGTAGGAAAAGACAACATGGTGTGCTGTGAGAGCCTCACGGCATACTGTGTATAATTTCCCGGCACCCAGACATCATTTTCAGGGATAACGTACATGAACACCAACACTCAGTGGCCGTCTCTGTTTCTGTGGCGACAAACACCTGATCTCCCACTTTAGGCAGCAGAGAGAGATATCCTGTAGGCTGTATGGCCCATGGAGGTATGGGAAATGACGCTAAAGGATATTGACAAAGCTATCACCATCTGAACTATCAAGCAAGGCTTGCATATACATGTATGCATACCTCTCAACAAAGTAATAAGTAGTTGAAGTGGTGTACCATGTACACCTCCACATCCACGATTCGGGACATACTGTAACTGGCATTACAGCTCTGTATCAACTGGTACTGTACCAATCAAGTAAAGTGGTTGAAAGGCATCGTGTGTTCAGGACACGTCTCGCAAGTTCTCAGTTATACTGTACTGTACAACTGGGAAGTGTCATCATGTACTAGTATAGGATAAAGTGTGTCTGGTCTCCAAGGTGTCCGCAATTCAGAGGCTACAGTGTATTCTCATACTCCGACTCCGAGGAGGTGAATAGTACTCACAGTAGTACCAGTACGGCAGTAGAATGCTGGACTGAGTCCATAGTAGCCATCGGTGTTAACAGTGTACATACAGCGGGGGATTCACCGTTCATCAGTTGCGCTTGAGAAGGCTGATCGTGTTTTGTCAGGGCGAACTCTCCGAAGCCGTGTATTGTGCCGGATCGGGCGGAGGCGACGCAGCGTGTATGGTGTGATTGGTGACGTACCATGCATTACCATAGCCGCAGTAGCTATGGGGATTGTTTCAACTACTTCGAAGTACAGTATTGTCCATTCGTGAAAAGTCACTGAAAACCCCGAAGACTGCTCAACCTCAAACTCAAAGTCGGGACTTGCTTACTCTATGCTCTACATACTCTACATACTCGTGGATAAGTTCTCGACTTCACGTACATGTACTCCCTGGCCGTGCTCCACAGTAACACGACATTGCGCTCAAACCGTAGCGTGATATCTGCATGCAGACTGTGCTCTGTCTCGTTCAGATCTACTGGCTCAGGTTTCCTGTCGGAAGCCGGCATAGTACAGTGCAGTTGCAGGAAACCAGCTTTTCACTACGATCACATACATTGTACCTTGTACATAGTCGTCCAAAGATCTACCAGAGTCCAAGACTACTCACTGACTGGCCTCAGCCGTGCAGCCGTTATCCAGTATACCGTGTGCGGCCGTGTGGAGTGGCCATACATCTACTCAGGTGACGGTATACCAGTATGGGCCTAAAGCCATTCTAGTCTAATCTGTATTGCTCGCAGCCTGGTAGCCGAAGAAGAATGGGTACAATCGTACCTTCTGTCGGTCTAGCCCATGGGCGTTCAGAACACTGACAGCGGCAAGATGGCTGTGTAGTACTGGGGCCAATTCAAAAAATCGACCTCTAAAATACATGCCTTGACACATGTTGGCTAACAAGGATTTTTCGGTGTTATTTGATAGATAATGTCTTCAAGAGCATCTTGGCCCAGTATGGCGAGTCCAATCGCGTCCAAAGGTCCCGAAATCACCCTCGATAGGAATACAAAATTGCCGAAAAAACTAAGTTCTCATCGGCTATATTCAAGCATTTTCAAGACTTTCTCGGTACTATATTGACTGGACCTGGGAGTTTTTACCCTTTTATGTGCCAGGAGCTATAGTAACACCGTACATACACAGGATGCGAACCGACGCGTACACTGATTTTGTGCGAGAGTTGGAAAGATTGAGCATCAAGTACCGTAGTGTAGTTGTGACATACCAGAAATGTGTTACCTCGTTTGGACACTTTCTTCAAAGTTTTGCATTGACTCGCTGGTGCTTTTGCTGTCGGAACGTCCACGAATGGATCGATGCTAAATTCAGCAGAACCTTCATTACAATGTCATCTTGGCTCCCCGGAAAAGTAGGCATGATTCCAACAAGGAGCAGCACAACAATTATGTGTGGAAAGCAGAGGAAAGTCATCATAGCTTGCCAAGCCAGTTGTAACTACTTGTATTCGTAGGACTAATCTACAACCGTGGAAAGTTTCAGACCTGGCTAACTTCATCGGGCTGGAATGAAGGCATTTACTTTGTGAGTACTGCTGCACAGGAGGTGTTACAGTGGACGAGCATTTGATTCGAATCTACAAGAGCGGCTAGTGTTAGTACCATGATTTGAACACACCGACCGTGGTGATCAGCCACCATTATCACAAAGCCTATTTGCCAGCTCAACAGCTCTAGGACAACTGCCTTAGGAGTGCCATGCTGCAGTGAGAGGGAGTAGCTATGTGGTGTGGAGTGTTACAAAAACGAAATCCGAGTACCTGGAGGTAACCTATCCCAATATGCAACACCAGCAGTAGAAGAATCATTTCCTTGTCGCAGAATTTGATGGCTGGGCCTAGGCAGTGTGAAACTACAGTTATACTTATAAAACACTAACTGCAAGAAAGAGTCCGATGTCCAATGTCGTGGCTTGTCTCTCC